AAAGTAACTAGCTAGGTGACACTGAGCAGCTATAAAAGGTTCAAGGATTACTAAATGGAGAAATATCCAAAGAAGCCAGATCGGCTAAGTGCCTTCTCACTCCCTACATACTTCATCTCATACACAGCACTTAGCAAACACTAACTTACACTACTTACATCTATTTGCTTATTATTTTGGAAAGGAAATCTTTTTCCTTTTCTAACTGAAGTTACATAGTTTAATCTCAAAGTATATTTTAAAAAGAATACAATTCATAATTGTACTCTGTACACTGTGATGCAAATGCAAACAGCTACTATTTATGTGATTTTACTCTCCTGCTCATTTTCCAAGTTCTGAATGTTTTACCTGAAACAAATATATGCCTCTGGTAATGTCAGTGGTAAAGCCAGCATATGTTTTTATTATCAACTTAGTACCTTTTTACTGGATCTCTCTTTTGGTCCTGGTATTATGTGAAGCCCTATGAAGGCACATGAAAAAGCAAACAAAATCCTTCCTTCAAAGGAAGATAGTAAACTTATTAGAATCATGCTCTGAATGATAGCCTACTGAATGACTGAGGGCTAGGGTGTCTCCCTGGCAAATTTTTGGGTTAAGAACAAATTTGCCATGACAACTGCTTTAAGTTCTAGTAGGAATGAAAAAAAATAGATCTCCACATAACTCAGAGACATTTTCAGTAAAATACACACGTAAAGGGCTATTTAACAGTTGCAATGATGTTTATTTTACTTCAAATCTATAAAGAAAGGATATCAAGTGATTTTCTTATCTAAAAATCTTATTCACTTTAGCTCCAAATAGAGTATCTGGAGGAGGAAAGAATATTTTCTTAGAATACACTTTGTATTACAAGCGATTTAGAAATTGAAACCTTTAAAACGCATTAAAAATTTCAAAAACAAAAAACAAACCAACAACAAAAAAAAACATATACAAGGTAACTAGTTGAGTTATGCTGCCACCCACTGGACAAAAAATAAATAGCAAAGCAATCCTTGCTCTGACTTTAAACACCAAAGGACTGGCTGGGTTTACTGGCAATCTGGCAGTAAAGATTTTATATGCAAATTGGAATCTATAAATAGTGAATCAAAGTTAAGTACCGATTGTTGACTGATTGTTTCATTTCTATTAATTTCCATTATTAATTTATTTTAGAGTCATTTATTTTGCTTAAAACCAAGATACAGCTGGACATCAATATTACTCTAATTTTATTTAGATGGTTTAAATGTAATCAGTTAACTTCCTTCTAATTAAAAGTTAAATATTTAAACTACTGTAAATTCAGCGCTATTTGAGATAAAAACTGCAACATTTCCCAGCACCTTTGTCTCTGTGGTCTCTCCTCAGCAGGACCCTGAATGTACCTTAGTAATATTGGCGCTATTCCTCCCACTGGAGTGTTTGTTACTGTCCTGGCCTGGGAACCGAATCTCTGTGTAAACACAGTTTACTGGGGCTAACTACAGTGTGAATTCCAAAGCACTGACAAAAGAACTGTTAATGGGTTCCTGACTATCAAACTATTACATCAAAATGTCAGAATATTTTTATTTGGTGAAAATATACTCTCATTTAGATAACACATTAGCATATATAATAAATGTATCAACATTACTTGGGGAGAAGATGCCTCACAATTGTTTCACTGGATTCTGGATTCAGAAATACATATAGAAAAAATGAAATGTGGAAATGTCTTTAAGACAGTTTTAGAAGATTTTATTTCCATCTATCCATCATAGTAGTCCCCCACCTTATCTGGTTTCCCTTTCTGAGATTTAAGTTACCCAGGCAACCACAATCTGAAAATATTAAACAGAAAACTCCAGAAACAATTCTTAAGTTTTAAACTTCTCAGTAACATGATGAAATCTCACGCCATCCAGCTCCATCCTGCCTGAGATATGTATCAGCCCTTTGTCCAGCATATCCACACCGTTGACACTATCCATCTATCAGTCACTTAGCCATCTCGGTTATTAGTTCAACTGTCACAATTATCACAACACATGTTTAAACAACACTTACTTAACAATGGTTCCAAAGAACAAAAGAAATGATGCTGGCAATTCAGATATGCCAAAGAGAAGCGATAAGTGCTTCCTTTAAATGAAAAGGTGAAAGTTCTCAACTTAAATAATGAGGTAGGAGACAGAACTCCACTCCAGAGGTGGGACTTGGACATCAGGACCAAATAGAGGACTAGCTAAAAACAGGTCCGAGCAGAAGCACCTCGCCGTAAGACATGCCCACCAGTGTGCCATGTCAGTTTACCACTGCCATGGCAACACCCAGAAGTTACCACCCCTTTCCATGGCAACAACCCAACAACCCAGAAGTTACCACCCTCCCCCTCATTCTAGAAATTACTTCAGACTGCCCTTAATTTGCATATAATTAAAAGTGAGTTTGAGTGCAGAACTGCCTCTGAGCTGCCACTCTAGACATACTGCCCACGGGGACCCCGCTCCACAAGGAGCAGTACCAGTCTGAAATTGTTTACCTTTTGTTAATGCAGCACTTGGTCTTTAACATTTCCTATAATAGATAGGTTAAAGTTTATTAGTCTATTTTTCTACTTATCTCATCTGTTCTCTGTACTTTTTAAAAGTCCTTTCTTGATTTCTTTAAAATTACTCCATTTTCTCCCTCTACGTCTTGTTAATTATGTTCTTTTACTACACACTGGATTCCTGTCTTATCATAGTCTAAAATAGAGTGGTGCTTTGCCATTTCCTGACAATGCAAGGGCCTCAGAACATTTTTAAACCTTTATTCCCTTCAACCTTACACACTATTGTCATGAGTTTTGATTATACTTATACCCTCAAAGACATTATCATTATTATTGATCTACACTTGCATATTTATCTTTTCTCTTCTTCATTCCTACCTGAATCTTCAAGTTTTCATCTGGGAGCATTTTCTTTCTGTCTGAAAAACTCTTTTTATTATTTCTTTGAAATAAAAAACTACTGGTGATGAATTCTCCCAATTCTCACCTAAAAAATGTACTTCAAAATTTCGCCTGGTTTGACGATTGCCTCGTATCCTACTATAAGTAGTTATTTCTGATTAAGTGCCAGACACTGCTTATGAAATACTATGGAAACAATTTGATGCCTAGGATAACAGTATCTCTCCAGAATTTACTGTTGCTGCTAGTAAGCTTAATCAAGGCTTTAGCAAATCAAGACCATCTTAATCCAATCAAGGATCAAGCTTTAGCAACTAAGAAAGCTAGTCTGTATTTTTTTATTCTTGCTATTCCTGGGATGTGGTATGTCAGGTTTAATAGGCCTTATACTCCAAGTTATTACCCCACCCCCACAAGTGTGTCAAAGCTCTATTAAATTTCTCAGCTCATTAGCCTCCTTTTCCAGAATAAATGGGTGACCCCAGTAGACAAACAGCTCAAACGTTAGGTTCCTCTCTGAGACTCTTTCTTCTCTTAGATCCTGGCCCTAAATTCCCTTTTTTAGTTAGTTCTTTGGTCTAACTTTTGCAATTGCTCTCAGCAGGCAGGGTGGTCCACACCATCTAGTCTTATCCATTTTATGTTCACCACCAGACCCAACAGAGTACCTTGCATACTTGGATAAGATACATCAGGTTTCCCACTACAAACCCCTGCAACCAATAAAACCACTCAGTTTTGTGGTGATTCCTCAAGGCCTTAGAAATAGAAATTCCATTTGACCCAGCAATCCCATTACTGGGTATATATCCAAAAGACTATAAATCGTTCTACTATAAGGACACATGTACACGAATGTTCACTGCAGCACTGTTTACAATAGCAAAGACCTGGAATCAACCCAAATGCCCATTGATAATAGACTGGATTGGAAAAATGTGGCACATATACACCATGGAATATTATGCAGCAATCAGAAATGATGAGTTTGTGTCGTTTGTAGGGACATGGATGAATCTGGAGAACATCATCCTCAGCAAACTGACACAAGAACAGAAAATGAAACACCGCATATTCTCACTCATAGGCCGGTGATGAAAAATGAGAATACATGGACACAGGGAGGGGAGTACTAAACACTGTGGTCTACTGGGGGGAAAAGGGGAGGGCCAGTGGGAGGGGGAGGTGGGGAGGGATAACCGGGGGAGAAATGCCAAATGTGGGTGAAGGGGAGAAAGGAAGCAAAACACACTGCCATGTGTGTACCTACACAACTGTCTTGCATGCTCTGCTCATGTACCCCAAAACCTAAAATGCAATAGAAATTTAAAAAAATATATATAGTATATATAATATATACATTAAAAAAAAAAACCACTCAGTTTTTTTTACACTGACCAAAAAATCAGCTGTGATTAATTAAGAAAAAGAGTAAACAGTATTTAGATTTTTGGACAAGAAAGTGTACCCATCAAATTAGGGTTTTAGATTATTTAGCCAAAAGAAGAGACTGCAGGAAGGCAAACCAATTAAAAGAATACTACACCAGTACAGGCAAGAGCCAATGGTGACATGGAAAAGGAAGATAGCAATGGGAATGAAAAACGACAGAAGCAAGAGATATTATAGTATTCCACCAACTTAACTAGCACCCAGAAATAAGAGAGAAAAAGCAAAGATGAATATGAAGTATCAAGCCTCAGAAAGAAACTAATTTGAATGAAGAGGAATTTAGATTTACACCTCTGTATGAGGTAACTACAAGATGAAATCCAAATCCAACAGGGAATTGTAGGTCCTAGTCTGAGGGTCCTGGTTTCAGTCTCTAACCAAAAGTATGGTGATTTCTAAACATTTCCATAGAATTGTCTAAAACTATTCAGAAAATGATTTACTGAACTGGTAAACCAACTTACTCTCTAAAGTGATCTATTTCCATTCACCAGCAGAGGAAAGTGCCAGAATTGAAAATTTATATTTTGAGGTTCTGGAGATACAGAAAAAGAAAAATAAATAGAATTTCGTTATCACATTTAAAGAAGGAACAGCTGGGAATGATGGCCCATACCTGTAATCCCAGCACTTTGGGAGGCCAAGGCAGGAAGTTCACTTGAGTCCAGAAGTTCAAGACCAGCCTGGGCAACATGGTAAAACCCCACCTCTACAAGAAATACAAAAATTAGCCAGGCATGGTGGTGCATACCTGTAGTCCCAGTACTCAGCGGGCTGAGGCCAGAGATTAGCCCAGGAGGTCAAGGCTGCAGTAAGCCAGAATCACACCACTGCACTCCAGTCTGGGTAACAGACTGAGACACTGTCTCATTCATTCATAAATAAATAAGTAAATGAGGGGAGTTAATAAGGACAAGAAAAGGCATGGTTTTAAAAAATTAAGACAAAATATAGTGTCACAATTTCAAACAATCCAGCAGTAAGTTAAAATGTATAGATATACATGCAGTGAAATACAATAGTAAGGAAAATACGAAGGGGATTTAGCTACTTGTTTTATTAATTTAACAACAACAACAAAAATAACTTTTCAAAGTTCCTGAAGTAGAAAAGTCATTATTTCCAAAGTGAAAGAAACATGTTAAAAAAAAAAAAAAAGAGGCAGCAAGTTAGATTATGCTGTCACATAAAAAATATTTACATTCAACAAATTAATCTAAAATTTCTGAAAACCACATTCTCTAGTTTTTAAGTCAGCACGAAAAATAACTGGAGAATATGGGAACATTATTTTATATACTCTTCAATCTCCCCAACAGGATATGCCTTCAGATAAAAATAAGTAAGTCCCTCTGACATAGAAACTATACAAACCCACAGCTAATTTAAGATGCCCTTGACTAAGGCTAACGCCCTGTAGGTCCAAATCATTGATTTAACAACTCCAGCACTAAATTTCTGATTATCTGCCAAATGCAACTCCTCCCACACTCTTGTTTTGGCTTATAACAACAATATTTCATTATGAAAACCAGAGCTGCAAACAGAATGCCCATCCAAATAAAATGTTTCTGGCTCATAAAGCCTGGCATAGACTCTTGATCTGTCCCCCTATGAAAACTGCCAGGAGGTCTCTATAAAATAAGGATTAAACTAGGCCACACACATCACGCTGAACAAATAAATAAAATGTCTACGAATCTAAAGACCATAGGAGTAATGGTCATACAAAGCTAATTATCCTCCTCTTTCCATTCATATACGTCATATTTAGTTACTCGGCATTCAGTCAACACATATTCGCTGAGTTGTAACTGTGGCAGACACTAAGGATAAAAGGACAAACAAGACAGAGTTCCTACCCCTCAAGGGAGGGCCTGTGAAGTAGTAAGACAGGGAAGCAGAAACAGTAACACAATCACTACCCTAATAGAGTTCTTACTGCTGAGATGCTATGGATCCACAGAAGAAATGCCAATAGTCTGTTCTGTTTTGAGGAGTGCAGGAGTTCCAGGAAGTCTTTAAACAGACTGACACAAAGGAATGTAAGCCTAAGAAAAGAATGAAGAAGCATTTGCCAGGCCGGAAGCAGAAGAAAAAACGCCTTAGTGTAAATAACTACAGATATTTTAGTAAATCTACTTTATTTTAATGTTGAGAAAATACCTTCCACCTTAGTGTGAAGGGACTAGATATTTTAGTAAATTTACTTCATTTTAATGTCAAGAAAATGTATAAGATGATATAGACTAGCATGTTTCATAAAGAGGCAAACACACAACTGCTGAGTGGCAGAGCTGAAAACAGAGACTCAAATCCCCATATTTTAAACCACTCCCCTATTTAATAATGGTTACTAACTTTATAACCTTATAAAAGGAATCATTTTGAAGCTAGACTTTTCATAAATCCATACTGCTGAACTCAAAGTGGAACATGTATTGATTCTAAAAACAAACTAAATTCCCTGGTTTTACATCACATATTACCCCTTTTAAAAATACTAACATCAGGCTGGGCACAGTGACTCACATCTGTAATCCTAACACTTTGGGAGGCCAAGGCTGGCAGATCGCGTGAGTCCAGGAGTTTGAGGCCAGCCTTAGCAACATGGCAAACCCCATCTCTAAGGCAAAAAACACAAAAAATTTGCCAGGCATGGTGGCACACACCTGTAGTGCCAGGTACTGGGGAGGCTGAGGTGGGAGGATTACCTGAGCCCGGGGGGGATCAAAGCTGCAGTAAGCCACAATTGTGCCACGGCAGTCCAGCCCAGGAGACAAGAGTGAGACCCCATCTCAAAAAATAAAATAAAAACAACACTAACATCAAAAGAAATATCACCCTGACTTACATTTTAATCATTAATAAGAATCATTCCTATATTAATATAAAACTAAAAATTATTTGGTTTCATAATAGGCTATATTAGTAGGGTGAAGGAAAACAAGACACCGTGATATATACAGAACTGATGGGAGTGCAACTTGATACAACTTAAACAACATTACTTACAAGACTGACTATTATTTCAGCACTGTTAGTAACAGCCAAAGACTGGAAGGAACCTAAATATTCATCAATCAAAAACTGGTTAAATAAATTAAGATACATCAATAAAGTAAGGCAGTTGAGATAAGCATTTCAGTAAGACACTTGAGAAATGATGATGACCCGACTAGGGTACTGGCATGTGAACAGCAGAAGTGGACAGATTCCACAGTGAGACCAGCAGTCCATAAACTGGATTCAGGTAAAAATTCAGGTAGATGGTGGAGTGAAGAATTAGAAAGCAAATCACTCAGAAGCTATAAAGCATAGATCTAGGGTTTCAACAACAATTTTTACACAATGCCTAGGCACTGAATATATGAGTTAAATGAATAAAGATTTTATAGTGAGCTGCAAAAAGATGGAAGAAAAAAATTTATACTAACAAGAAAAGAATATATTTGACTATGACAGAATACAGCTCTATCATTTGAAAAAGAAAAAAAAAAAAGCTACTTAGTACAAATGTTTGGGGAAAAAAAGACAAAAGAGACGAAGCTATCTCAGACCACAACTGTGAAAAAAGCAATATCCAAGCCCAAACCACACCCCAGCATGTGCTATAAACTGTGTTTATTTCAAAACTGCTGGGGTACTTCCTAACTGTGGTAAGCTATTGCTGAGTGACTTCTAGACATCATTCTACTTCTACACCGTAAGCAAAGTGTGATCAAGCCCTGATATAAAGACTATTTGGTTGGTGCAAAAGTAATCGGTTTCTGTCATTATTTTCAATGGCAAAAACTGCAATTACTTTTGCACCAACCTAACAATACTTGATCTTCAAGCACTGAAGGTTTACTCAAGTGGGGGGAGGGAGATCAAGCAAAGCCTTAAACAGAAGATTTTCTGCAACCAGCCCCAGACTTTAGAGCTGGGATGATGCCTATGTACAGGTTTATCAATGAAGTGTTTACTTCAGTTGTTTATATTGGAAGGTATTATGAATCAGTAGGCAAACTACTCTTCAAAGATGATGAGTTCCAAAAAAAAGTTAAAACACACACATATTTTTGTATCATAAAAGTCACCAAATATTGACATTGACAGAAAAAAATAAGGTTTTAAATAAAAGAAATGTTGACATGGTAATCAATGGAATCAGTTAAGGTCTGAAATACATTTAATCCAAAAATTTCCACAATTTATACCAAAGTTTCAAATAATCTATTCTAAAAATTACATGACTTAATCAATCAACATTCAACTAGAAAACATTTATAAACTTATATCATAATCAAATTAACAAGCTCCCAAAATGTATATTAGACAAACTAACTGCAACCAGTCAGGAAAACCCAATGAAGCAAAAATCAATATAATCAGTTCCTTACCTGCAGCTCCTTCGAGACTCTCTCTAAGTGATTAGTTATCTTTTTAATCAGATCACTATACATCTGTTCTGAGTGCTGCTGGCATACACATTTATACACACAACTGTAAAACAAACAAAACCCCCCACAAACCAAGTTAATCACAAAGCACTTAACTCAGTCCAAGGTTAAAGCACACTTTTGATACACAGCCACTGATCCAACAATTAATTCACACCTTCAAAAAGTAACCAATAACAACTTTTAAATAAAAAATTCATCCTCCCCCATCAGTGTTCGGATGGAAAAGATAGTACCATCCACTGTAAATATGCTCTTCCAAGTAGTGTATTACACGTTTAATCAGTACTAGATAATCTAATATTAGATGAGAATCTAAGGTCTGAATATGAAAATATTTATAAACCAGGCTCTCTCTCTCTCTTTTTAAATCAACGTCAAAATAAGGAAAAGAGAGTGATTGGTAATCAGTAGAAAGTTTCTAACTCATGGAAGTGTTTGCAATACAACCTCTTTGTACATCAGCTACGTGAACAACATAGTTGTCACTTCCTCATTCCACTGTGCTGATCTCATATCCCAACCCCGTTCCTAATTTGCTGTTTCCATTTACCAGGAGCTGGGAAACAAAATAACCGAAGAGTATTAGAACTGTGTGTCAATAAACATCAACAGATTAAACTAAGGTCTCCCTTTGAGATGAAAAATACGGTTTTTACACCAGATACTTCAGTCATTTTTGCTTTTATTGTTGACTTGTGCATTATGTATGGTGGAGATGGCAGGCTTACTCTGTCATGACTTGAAAACCACTTTTGAATAAAAAAGTATAAACCAAACCCTCCAATCCATAAGTGTGGAATATATAAGACACTTACAGAGCCTCATCTTATGTATCATATATTACACATTTGTGTGTGCATAATTCAAGTGCCCTGAACCTCAGTAAACCCTTTCAAACCCAAGCAAATTAAATCTTGACTTACCTGTATATCTGTTCATAGGATATGGGGATATAGTCACCAGGACTCTGAGTTAAAAGCTGATCTATGGCACCATCCAATTTTGGCCAGTATGTGCTCTTATAATCTTCAATAGTTATAACATTCATTACTAAAAGTAAAAAGTAAAATAAATATTACTATGTGCCACATGTGGAACAAACACAAATCACAGCCATTTTGCGCTCTCAGATTCCCTTCACTTACTCTTCTGATCTTACACTGACACTCTATCACCTAACTATCCTATTTAAATTAAAAACGAAAAAAGCAAACAGGTCAAGGATGCTAAACAGCCACTAATTGTGACTTTAAGAGGAAGTAGTATGAACCCGTCCATCTTTAAAAATAACAACTGAACAAGCAATCATCACTGGTTTCCTTCTGGGTCTCCTGTAAGCTTCCATCATCAGTGGAGCTGTCTCAAACATGCTCTGACCCTCAAATAGGCACTGGCAATTATGTAACAAAATGGCAATGAACCAGAGGAAAATTCGGAGAAACTGTGAACACCAACAATCAATCTTTGTAGACATCCTTGAGAAAATGTACCTAAGGACAAGGACTATGAGGATTAAGGTCCAAATGCTGCAGTCACAAAGAGGTTGCTGGAAAACTTGTTAAGGTTTACAATACCACCAAGCACCTCTCCAACATCACCACAGCTCCAACTCAGGCTGCTACTATCTTAAACTGAGCAAGCCCAACAGAAAAGCAGTCAATGAACTGGCGCCCTGCACTGAGGCTGACTTCATCCCTACTACAGGCTCTTTGTCCCACACTACAGGTTTCACAAAGCATTTGTACAGCGGATCCTTATAGCTCTGAAATCCACAGTTGCTTCACAGCACTGAAATTCTAATATTAAAACAAGAGCTAACAGAAGAACCTACTTATGTTCTGTGCCATGAACCACAGTTACCTCAGGACTAACAACAACTAGACCAGGTATTTTACAGTTTATTTTACCAGACTAGGAAGCAGAGTGGTTAACTGATTTCCCCACGAACACAAGGCTCATAACTGGCAGAGGTACCAGGTAAAGCAAAGCCTTCCAAGCATCTTTCCATCACATTATCCATCTCTACACCTTAATCATCCAGGTTCAAGATTTTGTTCTATGTACAACCTACATCATTTTTGTTCAATACTTTCTTTAAATCGATTCACTTCTGCTATTTAATTCTATTTTAAAGGACGTTGGAGGAATGAACTACTGAGGAATGTTCACAAAACAACAAGGCATAATCTTAAATGCATTTTGCTAAGTGAAAGAAGCCAGACCCAAAGGGCTACACATTCTAAGAGTCCCCCTTACACGACACGAAGAAAGGCAAAAGTATAGGGAGGAAAACAGATCAATGGTCACCAAGGGCTGGAAGGTAGGGAGAGGGATTATCTATATAGCAGTAGCATGGGGGAATTTTCAGGGCAATTAACTGTTTTCCATGGAACTGTGGTGAGGGATACACTACTTCATGTATTTGTCAAAACCAACAGAACTGTATATCAAATTACTATGTAAATTTTTATTTTAAAAAGTCATCAAGGCTGTAGTGGTAAAGATGGAATGTAAAACTCAGCAAATAAACCTAATTATAAATGAATCACATAAACTACACTGAAGGGAATGGGGAGTAAAGGAGTGTTTTGACTAATGTAAAGCTAAAAAAAAAAAAAAGTTTTACATGCATGTGCACAAACACACAGCAGGAAGAGGCCAGATCACGTAGGTCCTCATGGGCCATTGTAAAGACTCTGACTTTGACTCTAAGATGCAGGCCTCTCTGGAGGGTTCTGAGCACAGGAGTGACATGATCTGGCTTAGATTTTGTATCGATCATTCCAGCAGTTGCACTGAGAGTAAACCAAGTTCAGAGGCTGTGAGATGATAGTGGGTTGGGCCAGATGATGGCACTGAAAACAATAAGGAAAGGTCAGATTTTGAAGATATTTTAAAAGTAAAGTTAACAAGATTTGCTGACAGATTAGATGTGAGATGTGAAAGAAAGGTCAAGAGTGGCTCCAAAGTTTTTGGCTTGAGCACCAAAGGATGGAGCTGTCATTTACTAAAATGAGGACTGCATGAAAAGCTTAGCTGTCCGGGGGGCATAGCAAATACTGTTGGTGCCCCACCCATTTACCCCATCCACACCCTAAGACTACTTGCCTCAGTGTTCTGTCCAGCTGCCAGAGCTTGCTCTGCTTGTAGGAGCAGCAGGTAAGAAATTGTGGGAGAATTCACACAACCCCAGAGCAGCCTTCAACCAATCACTACTGAAGATTCAGTATCATTACCCCATTTGCTCCTTCTCCTTTTGGGTGAGATGACTCTAAGGCACATGTGCTACACTGCCTCCCAGAGCTCCCCACTGGTACTAAGCTCCAGCTGCCTACAGTGGTGACTTTACCTTACTGGCTTCCTTACCTTCCCTGTCTCCTTTCCCCAGTCTCCCTAGAGAGCTGCTTCCCAGGGTCACCTTCTTGCACTTGATACTCAAAAGTGTTACACACTAGCTCCAGAATATGACCTTTATACTTATGAAATCCTTAGTATTCAAAGAAAACTGAAAAAGAAGTAACATCCTCACTATGTGATTCTGAGTTATGGAATCCCTTATCAGTGTACCACCTAAACCACATCAAATACCTCTCTACCCCAAAAGCTGAGAGTTTACTTGCTTATCTCAACCCAATCCTTGGTTTAAAAAACAAAAACTACTAGCTGTTTGTTCAGTTTAACATTTGACACATACAGCCTCAGACTGTGTGTGTAATCCTGAACTTAAAAACTAGATTCTCCTGCTAGAGATATGTAATCACTTTCAACTTTGCCCACAGAAAAGATTTCACTGACCAACAGAAAGAGTAGGCCAGGCACAGTGGCTCACGCCTGTAATGCCAGCACTTTGGGAGGCCGAGGCGAGAGCATCGCCTGAGCCCAGAAGTTCGAAGCTATACTGGGCAACATGGTGAGACCTCATCTCTACAATATTTAATTTTAAAAAATTAAAAATTAGCAAAGAGTGGTGACACAAGCCTGTGGTCTCAGCTACTAGGGAGGCTGAGGCAGAAGGCTCTTTCAAGCCCAAAGGTCAAGGTCACAGTGAGCCATGTTCACACCCCTGTACTCCAGTGTGGGCATCAACGCAAGACTGTCTCAAAAACGAAACAAAACACAAAAGAAAGAGTAGCCAAAATTCATGCTACATGTAGAAGATAGCTGTCTTACTACTTTAAAATGAGAACCTGGCATGCTAATATCAGAGCAGCATGACAGGATCTTAGGAGATCTGGCAGAGCTGCCTATTTAGACAATACTTTTCAACTTATTTCTTGATTTCTGTAGTTCACTATTAAGCCTGTATTACAACATACATAAGTAAAAGGAGAAAATGAAAATCACTCATAATTCCACCATCAGTATATTGTGGCTGTGCCAGTGTACTGTGCCGTCTTTTCAATGTATATTATATGTGGCTAAAGAGTATATACAGACTTCCAATGAGCTACAGAAATCCTTGAATTTTACTTTTTAGATAATTAACTAAATCCGTTTTCTGTATATAAGGTGCAGTATCAGCAAGTAAGAGCCAAAATTAAAGTACGAATCGTAAACAAAATTAATTACCATTAAATTACTAATTTTCACCTCGGTTAGATTTTTCAGCTTGAAAATAATGAACTACTTTTTAAGCTACTTAAAGAAGTCACTACAGGCACAAATACCTACAAAAGCCATGTTAATAACATAAATAAGTAAAGCAGGCCTGGTGCGACAATAAGAAAAGTGGTGGGGGCTTTACTAAACAGAAGAATGTGTGTGCCCTCTAGAGACAGTGAAGTTCAAAAACACTTATTAAAAAAAATGTAAAAACATCATGCCACAAGACTTAAAACCTAGAAACACATATTTATAAGATAACAAGCTCACACAGTCTAAATCCCACTGAGAAAGTAGTTTGACCTTTACTAAGATAAAATGAAACAATCTAAAACACATGGAATAGTTGGAATCTTCATTCAGGAAATATTCTCGGGTTGCTGATAAACAGGAAACCATTAGAGGTGTATAATTCATAGCAGGCAGGAATAAATATGTTCAACTCTTACACTTTTTTAATCCAAATAACTTGACCTATTATTTATTTGTTTATTGTCAATTTCCCTCAAACTAGAGGTAAGCCCCTTGGAAAAGGAATTCACTGCTACAGCCCCGACTCTAAACAGTACATAACACATGGTAAGGACTCAGTAACACCTGTAAGTGAATTAACTTAGTGAGTCAACCTAAATGCTGAACAGAAAAACAGTGCAAGACATACTACTTATTAGCTGTTTTGGAATTAAAGCTTAAATCACATTTGATTTCACACAGGCTAAAGCAAACCAGGTTAGCCCTACCATATAATCCTTTTAAGGTTTTCTGTTGGTTTGTTTTATAAGGGAAGAATAAATTCAGAAGTTATAGTAAACATTATTAATTCAAACTTGGTCTACTGCAGAGACTGATCATCACTTTCCATCAGTGCTTAAAAGTGTGAGATCCAGAGCAGCATCAGCATCACCTGGAAACTCGCTGCAAATGCAAACTGTCAGGCCCCAATACAGATCTGCAGAATCAGAAATTCTAGGGGTAGGTGGAACCGAGGAAGCTGTTTAACAAGCCCTTCTTATGCCTTTTAAAGTATGAAAACCACTCTAACGCTTCAGCAGCTCAGGAGAGCCAGGTATCACTTAAGTGTTCCTCTTTTCTCAATTGCTAATATATGGTTTGTCTGTTCTCATCAACTTGGAGAGTCAAAGGTGTGAATCCACCAAAATGTTAAAAGGGTAACTAGGAACTGTCTTCCTACCCAAGATTCACTAAAATTCTACTCTTCCATATCCCGTCTCCCCACCAAAAAAAGCCACCTTCATTTAGAATAGATTCTTTAAGAATATAGTAATGGCAATTATAAAACAATTAAACCAAGTTTAAAAGGCTAAATTATGTCTAAAATATAATGACTTTTTAGATTAACTATAACTAATTGTAACTAGATAATTAGAATGGACAAGGGAAAAGAGCCCTTTGTTACCTATTTAACCCGAGCTAGTTAATCTATGCTA